CTGGATAAAAATTAGAAGGCCAGACAACATAGAGTGTTGGCCTGGATTTGAAGATACAGAAACTTAAAGACTGTTTGGAAAATCAGGCAAGAGATGGGCATTCTGGAGTGCAATCTGACAACATTTAGTCAAAATTAACCAGATTAAGTATAGACAACCCCTCTGGCCCAACAATCCTGCTTCTGAATACACATGTTAAAGAGACTCTCACACACATCCACAGGGTGCCTGTCCAACATGATTCACTGCAATAGGAAGTGAGAAGCAGTCTGAGTGATCACTGCTGAGGGAATCAAGAGGCAAAATATCACGATGCTCTCATGGACAAGTAAGCAGCAGTCAGAAGCAACACCCTCAATGGACATACAGCCATTGAGAGGATCTTAATATGTGGTCTTTAGTGGAAAAAAGGTAAGAAATTAAATACAATCTTTTATATAGCACTAGTCACATTAAATAAAAACATATGCAAAAAATATATACACAAACAAATGGCTACCCAAGAAACACATTTATTTGTGGTTGTCTGTGGTGGGGCAGTCAAACGGAGAGAATAGAAATGCATTATCTTTTTTAAAGTAATCAGAAATGAGCCTTCCATCAGACCAATTATGAAAGAATTGTTCAATGATGAGTATGATGAACTCAACTCCCTATGCCTGAAGTCCAAAAAAAAGAGAAGAGGATGAGACTAGGACATAAGCAAATAGAAATTAGCAAAAAGATGAGCCATTGTGTCAGTTATGCTGGTGGCACTTTGTCACCTTCTACCCCAAAATCCCCACTTCATTAAATGGCCTGTTCTCTTCCCTAGGAGATGGAACTCCACAGGCTGCTGTCTGGCTTCCAGTATAATTTGCTTATAGGAGGCACCAGCAGGAGGTTGGAGGGTGAGAATAGAGACAAGTTGGGGTATTTCTCCTTCCCTGCCAAGTTCAGCTCCTGTCTGACAGCCTGCCTGTCACAACTCCAGACCTTGCTAGGCTATGATTACCCTGACCCCTCCCCTGGACCCTTCTGAGTTCTAGGGGTATTAACAGCTTTCTGCTACTGCTGGTGCTAAGGCACCTCCCCAGTCCTTCTTGTTTTTGTTGTTGTTGTTGTTGTTGTTGTTTGTTTTTTGTGGGTTTTTCGTTTGTTTTTGTTTCCTTAACTTAGACCAGGTAATTAAGTCACTATTACTAAATTCTCTTTAGTAGCCCTCTTTGAGGATGCCATCTCTCTCCTCCTTGATCCTAAATGAATCAGCTATACAGAGTTTCAGGGCAATAACTTATATGATAAAGGACTTTCTTCTTTTTTTCTTTTATTTTAATATAGGTTACATTTGAACATGTTTATCTGCTAAAGCAAAATAATTCCCATCATTCTGTAGCAGAAGCAATGCATGGGAGACTGAGTAATTAGATATTAGCTCACATCACTATCTTTCCCACTACTGTCATCCATCATGACCGACCGGGAGATGAAACAGCACAGATCTAAAGGATGCGGTAAGAATTGAGGTCACCACAGATCAGTAGATACTTGCATACTTGCAGGATTAACACTGTCTGGATTCCAAGGATGAGCTGAGTACGTTCAAGATAAAGCTACGGTACATATTGTAGATTGGGGATTGACAACAAATAGCTATAGACTACATTCTGAGGAATAAGTGTTTTCACATGTGTGGGTATCATTTCTAATCCCAGCATCACAGTCAGGTCCAGATGCCTGTTTCTGATCTTTGGTCCTTTCCCTAATCTCCTCCAAGAGTCCTTCCCTGAGTCTCCCATCTAAGCAAGATGCTCCATACCCACCAATGAGTATTGTACCAAGTTCATTTCCCCTAGCCTGTGTTACAATTTGTGTTTCTGTTTTCCTTACATGTTATTCTTTGTCTTCCCACTCAGTTGTAAGCACCACCATGGGGACTGTCTAGGACATAGGAGGTCCTTAATAAATATTTCTTGAGTGGATACATGGTGAACCATAGAGGTGGCAAAAGACCAAATAGAGGGTAGATGAGCACTAATGCTTTTACCACCATGTTTATGGGTGGTGGACCTTGGATGGCCTTCCTCATAGTCAAAACATACTTCTTAGATCTGGCTTCTTGGGATGTATTCAAGGATGTTAGCCTTGTTTGAAACTGTAAATATGTCTGGTGAGTAGGGCTTGAGTCTGTGTGTTTGCCTTGTTTTGCACAGTATTCGGCACTGCCCCAAGCACAGATGGGTGCTTCATAAATATTATTGAAGGATGATGACACGAAGGATTATTTAATACCTCCACATGGGGTGGAGATGGACCTCAGGCCACAAACATACTTTGAATGTGTTTTACTTCTGAAATCATTTGAACCAAAATGTTTCAGCAACACAGATTCATCTGTGACCACAAATCAGACACGTTTAGAATGACAAAGCCCCAAAAGAATGCCATTTTCAAGGCTGAAACTGTATTATTCTGGGGTAAATGGAATCCTTGTTTTAGTGGCACTGTAAGAGTAGAAATTAAAGACACTGAAAATCTTCCCTTGGGAAACCACAATTATCTGTGAACAATGAAAGTTTGTCTGAATAATTCATCAGCCTCAAGGGTACAGGTCTACCCTTATTCTGGAATCCCAGGAGTTTAGGCAAGTGTGTCATTTAACGGGTCTCAACTCTGTCCTCAGTTGTTATTCTTCCAGGACCTGACATTTATGGGCACATTCCTATAATTTTACTAACTTAAAAAAAAATAAGCTGTATGGGAAACCACTGTCAAGGTCAAAATTTTGAAGCTGCATTAATTTTACCTAGGAAGAAAGAAGCTTATAAAGTGTCCATCATGAGAATCCACCTGGGACCTACACAACAGATCAAATACCCAGAACAAATCACGACGTCAGAGCCCCACAGAATTCTGAATCCCAACCAGCAAGCATGAATAATCCTTTTAAATGGTCACTTACTTATCAGAACAGGTCCTTTGTGAAATTTCTAAGCAAGGCCTCTGGTTTCTGACTGAAACAGAGATTTATGGGGAAGTGGGTGGGTAAAGTGAAATCAAGAACTACTGGGAAATTTCCACCAGAAACAAGGACAAATGGTTTTTGTTGTCAGAATAAAACTAGCCACCCCTAGCCATGGTTAGGAAAGTTACTGGCTAGCCCCTGGGAGAGTTGGACAATATTCTCAACTGATTTATCAGGGACCCTTTTGATCCAATTATAGTTACTGGGCAGACACAGTAATATCCTATTATCAGAAGACCTACTTTCAAATCCTGGGTGAATTTCTAATTCACCATGTGATCTTGTACAAGTTACTTAAGCTCTCTGATCATTGATTCAACATCTTTACTATGGGGAGAGTAATGCCTATCCCAATTACCTCAAGAAATGATTACAAAGATCAAGTGGGATGATAGGTGTACAAATTCTTTCTAAATTATAACATTCTATATAAATGGAAGGGTTAAATGTATATAGAATGTTATAATTCTATATAAATTATATACAGAATGTTATAACATTCTCCCGTATTATTAAATACCCTACATATCTCTCAGGATCCTATATGACTCTAAGTTCTCAATTTTTAAAAACGGTCCCATTTTTGCTTTGTTCCCCACAGTTCTACGGAGTCTTTTTTTTTTTTTTTTTTTTTTTTTTAAGGGTGTAAGCAAAAGTAAATGGGAGAAAACATGTAATCACATACCACTCTTTGGTGCAGCTAGGCAAGAATTTTAAACTGAGTTTAGTTCACCATCATGGACTTGATGTCCATGTCACCTCAGGGAGACAAGTAGAGTGGGAGGCATCCAAAACGTAGATGATTCTTCTCCCCTCTAGTGAAGAATACAAGGTCTATTTACAAAAAATACTACCAGCAAATAATTGGAAAATTAAATTTATAAAACATTTACAATAGCATCAAAATAAAGAAAATACCCAAAAACAAATTTAACAAAAATTGTATAAGATCTCTACATTAAAAGTAATGAAATACATGTAAGAGAAATTAAAGAAAACCTAAATAGAGAAATATACCACATTCATGTATTAGAAGACTTGATATTATTAAAATACAATTCTCCCCAAATGGCTCTATAGATTCAACATAATCCCAATCAAAATCCCAACAGGTTCTGGTAGAAATTGAGACGTTGGTTCTAAAATGAAATAAAATGCAGAGGACCTAGAATATATAATTTTCCTTTAGTTTGACAAAGAAGAAAAACATACTGGAAACTGTTTTCAGTGTAATATTTACATAAGAATCAACAGATAGATCAGTGATACAGAATAGAGAATCCTGAAATAAATCCACATATACATGGTCAACAGGTTTTTAATAAAGGTACCGAGGCTATTCAGGGGAATGAAAATTCTTTTTTAAAAATAGGATTGGAACAACTGGATATGGGACATAAGTGAACCTAATAGCGTTAGTTAGAGCCCTACTGAGTGAATCTCTTGTTGGGTACTTTCCATGCACTGTCTCATTTCATTCTTACAACAAACCTATGAAGTATCATTTTTCTATTTGTACAGAGCTTATAAGGCTATAAGCTAGCATTTGAACATAATATAATCTGACCTCAAAACCCATGCTTTTTCCCCTCACTTATACATACATACTTTCAAATTAATAAGTTTTGTTGCTAAACATTTATGTCATATTTACTATGTACCAGGCACCATGTTAAATGCTCTACATGAAACAGCTCATTTGGACTTTATAACAATCCATATGAAGATCCTATTATTACCCACATTTTACAGATAAGAAAACTGAGGCACAGAGATTACATAAGTCTCCTAAATTCACATGGCTTGTAAGTGGCAGAACAAAGAATTATGCTCAGGACACCTGATTCTCCAGCTTCTACCAGTACACTATACCATGTTCCCATGCTTTCAGCACATTCCCAGATGGAACAGGGGAGAATGAGTCCCAGCAACCAACAAAGGAGACATCGATGTCAGAATCTACCATAAAGTTTTTCACGGTGACATCCTTGCTTACCTGTCCAGGGCTGTGCTGGTTGGCATACTCCTCCCAAATCCACGGATCCCCATCTGACGGAAATACGGAATGCAAGAAAGGTTGGCAGCAATGATGGCCAGGGAGTCAGAAGGGCTCACAAAGAAGCCATTTTGGCCTAGGATCATATAACGGTCCTGTAGGAAGGAATGTGTGAAAATGATCAGACAGAAGCATCTGCTGCTAACAGCCCTTTCCCATAATCATCAGAATCCACTTTACTGCCATCTTACATTTAACAACCTAACAACTTGAATGAGGCCAAAGAGAGCATGGGAAACATTCCTCTAAATCCCTGAGTATCAAGGGCCCAGAATCTTGACACATCAGGAATATGTTGCACCTGTTGAAATGTGGATGACTACCTCAAGCTTTAGAAGCCCCCAAATACTTAATTCTTTCTTTCTCCTAAATGTAATAGAGAAAAATGGTTCTTGTAGAAATAGCTAACTTCTTAACATGGTGCTTTCCACAATACCAGCCATAAATAAAGATTTATTGAATAATATATATTTTTAAATAAACAACCTTTTATGCCATAATGTAAATGTGGAGCTAAAAAAAGTAATCACTATTTAATTGCAATACTTAGCCATTAAACAGAAGAGCAGATGCAAAGCCAGTTAGGGCACACATGTCCCATACATGTTAGCTCTGGATGTGTTCATTCTCTGCTTTCTAGTGTATGGCTCATTATATGGTCAAAGGGTCAGCAGAAAGAGAGCTTTCCTGCTTACCCCATCAGCATCAAATGCAGCTCCAAATCCATATTCTCCTCCTTTCATGGCTTCCAGAAGAGTCGTTGCATATGTCAGGTTTGGGTCAGGATGCTGCCCTCCAAAGTCTTCCAGAGGAACACAGTTTATTGCAGAATTGGCTGGGGCCCCCAGCTCATCACACAGAACTTTTCTCACATAAGGTCCCATAACTAAAAATAGATACACAGCAATATGAAATATTTGCAGAACGTTCTCCACAGAGTATTTTGTTCTGAATAGTATAGGAAACACCATTTAAAAACCCAGAAGAAAAAGATAAATTTACAGGCTTTTTAAAGACACAATATAGAACAATATTTGCTTTAACTACTATTTATTGAGCATCTACTATGTGCCAGTTACTCTGTTAGGAATACTCAAGATGTATTCAATCATCTAGTTACAAAAATTTTTTCTCCTAAAACTTCTCTAAAATGTTGCCAGAAAGAAATCAGCTACGTAACAATGATTCATTGTTGCTTTTCATGTTTGAAAAGCTTTAGCTGAATATACTCAAAAGCATTAAAGGGCTCTAGCAATGTTCTTTGTCTCTGCAGTCATCTGGACTCTGCCAAGTATATAATTAAACACTATAAGCCACTGAAACATATAAAAACAAGCATATTTTACCAAAATAAATGCTAAGGAATAGTATTTTCCAGTTCAATAAACATTATGAAGTGCCTAACATGGAACTGCTCTGCTAGGAAATGAAGGGATCATATTGAAGGGACGTAAAGCATATAGTTTCTACATTCCTGGTCTTGTAATCTAGTAGTGGGATGAATCAAAGCTGCAGATCAATGACTACAGTGGTAAGACCAAACAATGCACGTTGAAATAATCATATCCAATGGCTTAAGAGAAGCAATAACCACACATAAGACTTCAAGGAAGATGCAGCATTTCTGGCAGAACTTGAAGGGATAATATAAAGTTGACAAGCGTTTGGGTTTGAAGTGGGAAGCCCATCTAAACAGAAGGCACATTATGAGCAAGTGAACAGAGCCTGAGGTACAACACAAGGCACATTTGGGGAACAGCACATAATCCTCCTAGCTGAAATGTCTGAGAGATATTGCTTTCCACTTATTTTCCACCAATACAATACACAATCATCTAATAGTGAACATCTATTAATTGTGCCTGCACAGCACACATTTCCCCTTCCTCTGGATACAGCATTTGGGATTTCTATTGGAGAAATACTATCTTCCCCATCTCAGTTCATGAGGTTGGGTATGGCTAAATCCCACTTCCCCAAGGCTAAGGAGGTGACCTAGGTCTGCCCAATCTGACCTAGGTCCTCCATCTCCTAGACAGAGTAATTGATCCAAAGGTGGATATGCAATTTAAGCCAGACAATGAGGCTGAAGCCCAGAAACATGGCTCATACTATTTGGAAAAAGAAGCAAAGCTATCTTTCCTATAGGCCAGATAATGCTAAGGCAAGAATCTGAAAGTTTTTTTCCTGAGGAATATGATCAGCCCAATAAAATAGAACAGCCTAGGCAGAAGCCTTTAGAGTAAAGCCCATGGAGGAGAAGACCCCAGCAGGCTCAGAGCCCCCAGCAGGTTTTCAGTGACTCATTCTTAAATATGCCAGAAAGCCAAGAATCATCAAAATTTTGAGGAATGTATTTAAGGTAAGGTAAACATAAACAAAAAGTAAAGAGAAATCTGGAAGAAACAGAAATTATACAGGGAGAAGAAAACTTTTTAAAATATATTGGTAATATCCTAATAGAGATTAACAAGATAGAGTAGAATGGCTAAAATGGAAAATACTGACAGTACCAAGTACTGGTGAAGATGCAGATAAACTGGAGCCCTCATACATTGCTAGTGGTGCAAACGGTACAGTTATTTTGGAAAATGGTTTGGCCATTTCTTATAAAGGTAAATATACATGTATCATATGACTCAGCAATCCCATTCCTAGATGTTTACCCAAGACAAATGAAAACATACAGGTTTGTTCATGAATGTTCACAGTATCTTTCTTTGTAATAGCCAACAACTAGAAGAAAAAGAAACCTAATGTTCATCAACCAGTGCGTCAATAAATAAATTGTGGTATATCAACAACATAATAAAATCAAACTCAGCAGTAACAAGTAACAACTACTGATACATGCAACACCAAGAATGTATCTCAAAATCCTATGCTGAGTGAGAGAAGCTTGAAACAAAAGGCAACATGTTGTATGCTTCCATTTGCATAACTTTCTGGAAAATGCAAAACTATGGGGGCAGAAAGCAGATGAGTGGTTGCCAAGGGCTGAAGATAAGGGGAGAGGTTTGACTACAAAGGGCTGCAAAAAACTATCTGGGGTGATGGGAATATTCTATCTTGATTGTGATAGTGGTTCCATGACTGTATATGTAACCACTGCATATGTATATGTATACAGTTTGATAAGGTTTGACCAACCAGGAGTGAGTTTTACTATATATAAATTATACCTCAGTATACCTAAGTTTAAAAAGATATAGTATCCATGAAACATAACTAGGATGCTATTTTTAAAAGAGAGAATCTTTGGAACATACAAACAAAAGTTTTGGGAAAATAAAAATATAATGGTAGAACTGAAAATCCTAATGGAAGGACTGGAAGATAAAGTCAAGGAAATTTCCCAGAAAGTGAAACAAAATAAAGAGATGAAAAATTGGGAAGGAGAAGGGGAAATAGAATAATTAAAGGATCAGTTCAGCAGGAACAATAACCAGAATGGTTACTAAATAGTAATTCAAAAACTTTTCCAGAATTAAAGGGCACAAGTGTTCAGACTGCAAGGGTCCATCAGGTATTCAACATAATAGAGACAGAATCCCACACTGAGATCCATTATTGTAAAACAGAGGAACACTGAAGGCACGTCAAAGGTCCTAAAAGCTTCCAGAGAAGAAAATGGAAACACAATGGATTAAAAATCAGAACAGCACTGGATTTCTCAAGTTCAACATAATATCTATAACACAGTGGAACAATGTCCTCAAACTTCTGAAGGAAAATAATATCCAACTTAGATTTCCATATCAGACAAATATTAATCAAGAGTGAGTACAGAATAAAAGACCTTTTCAGATATACAATGACTCAAAATATTTACCTACTATGAGCTTTCTCTCACTGAGTTCTTGGAGAATGTGTTCCTCCAAATTGTAAGAATAAATCAAGGTGGCAGACAAAGAAACCAGTAAATAGGACATTTAACATAAGATATGTGTAAAAACAATTGCTACCATCATGATAAAAGGAGATTCCATGATGACAGCATGCTCAGAGAGCAACCAGTGCAGAGTGGGGCAGACCAAAGGCTCCAGGAAAATGAAGCGAAGGAAGATTTAGACACTGGGGGAGAGCTGGAGGATTAAGAGTGGTAGATACACTTGATTAAAACCAAGCAATGAGAAAACAAGGCAATTGCTATTTCCAAGGAAATCAAAAAGTTGTACTGTAAAGGAAATATAATTCTAGCATATTGCATGGCTCAGCAGTGTTTTGGTAATGTAAACACTAGATACTGATCTTGCCAAACTGATGATCTAATTAAGGAAGTATGCTTGGATTTGGTGGGTGGAGAGGGTAAAAAAGAGCTATAGTCCAGTTTTTATCATATGAATTCAGTAATGCTCAAAACTGAAAAAAATAAGGGTCTGTATATTCATAATATTTAATGATAGGGAGATAAATACAAAAAAGAAAGGGCTGAAAAAAATGAAAAAGTTTAACTCTGGAAGGTAAGAAACTGGGGAAAGACAGGAGTTGGGTAAGATTCTTTTCATAATAAATCTTGACTATTTACTTGACTGTTTATGCCATGCATATGATCAAATAAATAACAGTTTTACTATGCTCCACACTCATACATGCATAGCCTCAAACTCATTTGTTCAACTTTTGTTTTCATTTACATCAAAAGACAGAAATGAGCCCTGAAGTTTTCCAGAGCATTCCAAATATCTGAACACACACATGTTGTATGAATATCTATGAATCCAAATTTCCTCTTAACCTCCAAAACCCAACATGTGTAGAGGTCTCAGTATTTCTTGCCTCCTGATTTGGAGAAAACCATTAACTTACCTCCATGCATCGCATCAACTCGAATCTTCAATTGGCTGGGCCCAGTCAGCAAACTCTTGATGGCATGAAAATCAAAGACAGTCCGAAGGAGGTTGAGATAGATATCCACTGGGTCCACTATCTCCACTAAAGATAGAAAAACAAAGGAAAATGTCATTGACTGTACCCATGAAAGATACTTGGAAGCATAAAAAGAATCACTACCGTTGCAGTATGAAATTTTGATAATAAGCCCATCATATCCCCACACATGATGTGGGAAGTAAAGTGCCCATTTGTTGACAAAAATCACAAATCAAGGCGCAATCAAGATCCTACAAACTTTTCAGGTGCTCAATGAGTGTAAATGATACCAAGCTATAAATTCTTCTTTGCAAGGAAAAAATCAACCACAAAAATGTATTAAGATAAAAATGTACCCTGTTACTCCTGCCCTCACTTCCCCTCCCCCCAAAAATGCACACAACACACATCTCAATGCTTAGAGGCATTTTGGCATATCCAGTTGCCTTTCCTGTGGGGGTTGGCCAAAGACTGACTCAGCTGGTATGAAGCAAATCAGCAAGTGACCTCAGTAGTGACCCCTATTTTCCAAATGTCATTGTTCCTACGAGATTCAAGTGCAGAATTGGTGATGAATATATTCCTGAGTTTGAATGAAATCTCTTTCATGCCCAAACTAGCGCCCAATTTACAAGTGAATGGCAAATATCTAGAAATTCTCATTAAACACAAATGCTCTCCAGTTTCTAGTACTACCCAGTAACCAGGAATCCAAAAAGTTTTATTCATTTCTTTGACATATCAAAAAGCCCAGAATACATTACACTTTTCATACTTGTCAATCAGTATATAATTAATGCTCAGAAAGTACTTTCCCAAAAAGTAGTAAATATTCTTTAGGTGCTAAAATTGGTCCAGGAGCCCTGCTTTTTAAATTCATAGCTAAAGTTTGAAACATATGTATATTGCTTTCAAATTTTTCAAATACATACTATTTTGGAACCCTGAAATACTTTCAAACTTGCACTAAAGTTATTACCAAAGATGGCCCACTTTCAGTAATTTTTACTAAATCCAGGTGTGATATTTAATGGATGACACCTTAATATGCCATATAATATTATCCCTTCATCTGGTCAAATACATGTCTAAAAATCTATTTTCTTGCACTTAAGTCAATGTAATCTATGTGTCCATTCAAATATAATTATATTTGTAACATGGATACTTTTTAATTATCTTTTCACATGAGCATAATAATCTATAAAGTAATTAAAGTGTACACCTAACAATGGTTAAAATAGTAAATTTTGTTATGTATATTTTGCCACCATAAAAAATTAATCTGTAGGCTAAAAGGTTATGCCCTGAGTACTTGGGAAGTTTTACTCACTCTACATTATAGGATAATACTTTTTGACAATTTCTGGTTCTTCAGTTCTTGAACCAATTGCCTAAATACATTTGACATTTACAGTAGATAACATACAGTACCAAACAAATACGAAAAGGGAGGGAGCAAGAAGTCAGTAAAAATTGAAAATTCACATCAAATAGTTCTTGCTCGTGACACTTTAAAGTGAAATGCAAAGGACTTACTTGTTTTCAATTAACACAAGCTTTACTTAACACCTGAACCAGTGAGACTATAGCACATAAATTATCCCAAACGATTATCTCCAAATTCTTGGAAGCCAGGGAATCCCTCCATCCAAATCCTGGAATCGCTAAAATTTTAGAAACCTCATGCCAATAGCAATGTGGCTGCCCCAATGAGCCTGAATGAGAGCTCATGAAGATTCGAGTCTCCTGGACAACTATAAAAATTGTGAAGATACCAAAAATAAGCCCAGTCCTTCTAAGCATATGTAATCAGCATATTGAAATAATTTTGCTTAATATAACGTATCCCTTGCCTTCAATTGTCCAGCCATCCCACGTGTGTACATGTATATGCCTGAGCATTCTCCCAGCTAGATTAACAAAAGCAGGCACTGTTGCTTCCAGTGAGCATCATGGCTTTCTATAAATTTCTGCTCACTACCTAAGCAAACAACTGACTCAAAACTTCTCAAGAAAGATTTGGTAACATTGGGCCAATACTGTGACCCCCACACAATCCATTTTAAGCTTTTCTCTGTCTCCGAAATATCACATGGACATGAACCAGGTATTTCATCTTTTTTTTTTTTTTTTTTTTTTGAGATGGAGTTTCGCTCTTGTTACCCAGGCTGGAGTGCAATGGCGCGATCTTGGCCCACCACAGCCTCCGCCTCCAGGGTTCAGGCAATTCTCCTGCCTCAGCCTCCTGAGTAGCTGGGATTACAGGCACGTGCCACCATGCCCAGCTAATTTTTTGTATTTTTATTAGAGACGGGGGTTTCACCATGTGGACCAGGATGGTCTCGATCTCTTGACCTCGTGATCCACCCGCCTCAGCCTCCCAAAGTATTTCATCTTTTTGACTAAGTTAAATACTTCTAAAATGAGGATACTATTTAACAGAAACTGTATTCAAGCTTATAGGAACACTAAAAAAGAAAAACATGTTAGATCTATTGCTATTACATGCCTTCTAGGAAAGAGCAATTGGATAAAACATGAGGGGAAAAATGATGTGCACATAGATGGTATTAATGTTGTCATTATATGGTTTAAAATTAATCTATAAAATAAAAAGCTATTTTCTGGGTACTGTAGAAGTTATATTTGCTTTACAATATAAGATAATATTTTTTACAATATCATTTGGTTCTTTAATTTTTGTATCACTTGCCTAAATATATTTGGTAGTTACTGAATTCCTTTGTAAAATCTCCCAACACAGTTCTTGGTATAGGGCAGGTGATCAATAATTATGCATTCAATAAGCTGATACATAACCCCATTGACTTGTTACATTTCTTCTTAACTAGCTAAGGCATTCCAGCGTCTTCACCTTAACTGCTTAGACAAGTTTTGGCAATTTACAGCCTATTCTTGGAATGTTATAATGGAGTCAACCATAAAACTTTTCCTATGTTGAAAATGGTATCAAGTTTGGTAAGCGGTTTTTGAAAGTTTCCAGTTCTGAATATCTTGGCTGCTCTCATGTCTTCTCTCTACACCATGTTCAATTTACACATATTTATCAAGAGCCACCCCTGAGATTGACAATGCAATAATTTTTATGAGTGTACTTCCCTACAGAAACCAGTCAGCCCCATCCACGTGGTTACTCTGACTTGTTCAAATAAAATCTCTCTGTTACCTCGGAATGGTTTGAATTTATTCTCTAGGTCAAATTCTTGTCTTCCTAGTCGAGATAGGTCAATTCGGAGATCAGGACATATAGCATACTCCTCAATTGTTTTGCTGATCTGGTAGATTTTGTCTGAGACAACATCTGGTGCAGGACCTAAAATTTGAACACCAAATATACATGTTTTTAAAAGTCTCATGAATTGCAAACAGAGAAATGTTACCATCCTCCTCCACCAGGCAGAGCAAGATTCATTTGTTCTCTAAACAACAATCAATGGTTCACATTTCAATTAGCCTTGATATTTTTTACACTGTACTCATCCACTATGGGAGAAATTTTGTCAGCCTCACCTGTCCTGTGTAGACTAACAACCCATATGTTTGTTTGTTTGCTTTAATCCACTTCTAAGCAATGACACATCTTTCCTAAAAATAGTTTCACATCTGCCAGGGAGACCCAGTTATGTAATCAGCTTTATTCAGGCTATGAGACACAAACAGGATATGCATTTGACAGAAGTGAGGGATTCCAGATTTACACTGCAGTTTCGTTTCCCCAGTGCACCTAGAGGAAACTATGCTTTCTATTCCTGGCTCTGCTGCCTAATTGATGTGTGAGCTTAGCAGGGTAAGTTAATTATTTTCCCCAACTCACAATTTCTAGCCACTTCCCAGTTTCTAAAATGAAGCTCAACTAAAAATACATGATGCATTTCCTCAGAAGGTCAAATTGACAAGTAGTATTAGACTTTAAATAAATTAAACATGAAATCAATACTTGTTCACCTTTTGGGGTTTTGCTCTTTTTTACTTTGTGTATCTTAATGCAAGCAATTTTAGTTTGTTTTTTGGGTTTTTTTTTTTTTTTTTTTTTTGCAACAAGTTTGGGAAACAAGTAGATTGAAAGATCTAAGGTATAAATGACAGATAGCTTTCTGTATGAATCTTACTTGTCAACTATACTGTAACTTTCTACTGAACAAAGATTGTTTCTTGATTTTTTAAATATCTTAATCTGTAGAACTGTACTGTCCAATACAATAGTTACTAGCCATATTTTGTTGTTGAGCACTTTAAATGTGGCTAGTCAAGTTGAGGTGCACTGCAATTGTAAATGCACACCAATTTTGAAGAGTTAGCAGAAAAGTGTAGTAGATTGAATTAATTTTTATATGATGATGTAGTATAACAATATTGTAGATATAGTAGGTTAAATAAAATACATTGTGAATTTCACTTGTTTTAGATCTCTTTTTTTTTTTTTCTTCTGGAGATGGAGTCTCATTCTGTCTCCCAGGCTGGAGTGCAAGGGCAGTCTTGGCTCACTGCAACCTCTGCCTCCCAACTTTAAGTGATTCTCCTGCCACCGCCTCCTGAGTAGCTAGGATTACAGACACCCGCCACCACGCCCAGCTAATTTTTGTATTTTTTAGTAGAGATGGAGGTGTCACCATGTTGGCCAGGCTGGTCTCAAACTCCTGAACTTGTGATCCACCTGCCTTGGCCTCCCAAAGTGCTGGGATTACAGGTGTGAGCCACCGCGCCTGACGAATTTCACTTTTTTTAACATGGCTACTAAAAAATTTAAAGTATGTATGTGACTCACAATATTTTCCTGTTGGACAGCACTGCCTTAGAGTGTAGCACCATCACCATATCCCAATAAATGCTCATAAAAAAGAATAGCAAGAGTCCTATTGTATTAAGCGGGAGAGAAGACAGCTCAGAAGAGTTTACCAACAATTTTCTTGTTACGTAGGAAAAGTGAAGACCTCAAAGAAATAAACATAACCCTTCATTTCACTCCTTACCATATTTTACCCTTCGCAAAACTTAAAGAACAGGTAGTCTTGTTTAGTTTTTGCATTATTTTGTGCTTTTTAGATTACAATGCATGAATATCTCCCTACACTCCAGACACCACACTATGTTCTTTGGCTGTGTCCATCATTTTCAAGTCCCTGAATTTTAATACCAAAGCACACAGGTTTCCAAAAGTAAAATAAGTACTGTCTCTCTAGATAATTGTCTTTGATGCCATTCAGCCATCCATGCTGATAACTTCAGAGTTCACCAACAACTTCTGAATTCCTTGTCAATTTCCAAGTTCCTTGATATCTTCCACTCGACTTTCATCATATGCACCCCAAAACTATGTACAATTATAATATATATTAAAATAAATGTTTTTTAAAGGATATGGCACATCTATAGGCACTCATATGAAAACAAATTTTAAAATGCTAAAAAAAAGAATATCCAAAAAGAGATTTTAAAGTGCCTAAAATAAATAAATGAAAAATGGAAAAGCTAAAAAGCTTTCTAACTTGCTGTAGTCCCATTTATTTGTTTTTGCTTTTGTAGCCTGAGCTTTTGATGTGATATCCAAGAAATCATTGCCAAGGCCAATGTCAAATAACTTTTTCCCTATGTTCTCTTCTAGGAGTTTTATGGTTTCAGATCTTACATTTAGGTCTTTTATTCATTTTGAGTTTATTTCTGTATATAGTGTAAGATAAGGGTCCAATTTCATTCTTTTGCATTTTTGTTTTCCCAGCCAACATTTACTGAAGAGGTTTTGTTTTTTTCTTTCTCCCTTATGTCCTCTTGGTTCCCTGGTTCAAAATTAGTTGACTATGTATGTTTTGATTTATTTCTGGGCTCTTTATTCTGTTCCAATGGTCTATGTTTCTGTTTTTATGCCAGTACCATAGTGTTTTGATTACTTTAGCTTTGTAATGTAATTTTAAATTAGCAAGTGTGGTACCTCCAACTTTTTTTTTTCCTCACCATTACTTTGCTTTCTTTTGTGGCTCCATACAAATTTTAGTATTGTTTGTACATTTCCATGAAGGATGTTATTGGAATTTTGACAGGGGTTGTGTTAAATCTGTATATTGTTTTGGGTAGTGTCAATGTTTTTTATAATATTAGTGCTTTTGATCCATAATCCATGAGCACAGGATATCTTTCCATTTATTTGCATCTTGTTCAATCTCTTTCATCAATCTTTTGTAGTTTTCAATCTACAAATCTTTCACCTCCTTGAAAAATTTGTTTCTAAGTATTTTTTGATGTTATCATAAATGGGATTCTTTTCTTGATTCTTTTCAGCTGGGTCATTGTTTATGCATAGAAATGCTAGTGATGTTTGTATGTTGATTTTATATGCTGCAACTTACTGAATTCATTTATTAGTTCTAAAAGAGAGAGAGAGAGAGACAGAGAGAGAGAGAGAGAGAGAGTGTGTGTGTGTGTGTGTGTGCTCTTTGGGATTTTCTATATATAGAAATCCCAAATCCCTATATACGACATGATCTATATATAGGATCATGTCATCTGTAAATAGAGATAATTTTACTTCTTCCTTTCCAATTTGGATGATTTTATTTATTTTTCTTGTCTGATTGTTCTTGCTAGTACTTCCAACACTATGTTGAATAGAAATAGCAAGAGTGGGTATTCCTGCCATGTACTAGATTGTGGAAAAGTTTTCAGTTGTTCCCAATTGATTATGATGTGAGCTGTGGGTTTCTCATAAATGGCCTTTATTATGCGGAGAAACTTTCCTTCTATACCTAAAATGTTAAGAGTTTTTGTCAAGAAAGAATGCTGAACTTTGTCAAATGCCTTTCCTGCACCAATTGATATGATCATGTGGTTTTTATCTTTCCTGCACCAATTGATATGATCATGTTGTTTTTATCTTTCATTCTGTTGAGCCAGTTTTTGTATGTCAGGGATAAATCCCACTTGGTCATGATGCATAATTTCTTTGATGTGTTGTTGAATTTGGTTTTCATCAATATTTATCAGAGATATTGGCCTGAAGTTTTATTTTCTTACCATATGTTGTCTGGCTTAGGTGTCAAGGTGATGCTGGCCTCATAAAATGTGTTTGGAAGTATTCCCCGTAGCTCTAAGTTTTGGAAGAGCCTAACAAGTATCGGTAATAATTATTCTTTGAATGTTTGACAAAATTCGGCCATGAAGCCATCTGGTCTTAGGCTTTTCTATTTTGGAAAGTTTTTCATCACTTCTTCAACTTCTTTATTTGTTGTTGGAGTGTTTAAACTTTCTGTTTCTTCCCAATTCAATCTTGACAGGTTATTTTTTCTAGAAATTTATCCATTTCTTCTAGGTTCTCCAATTTGTTAGCATAAAATTGTTCATAATAATCCCTTATGATCATTTTTATTTCTGAGGTATCTATTGCAATGTCTCAGCTTTCATTTCTGATTTTATTTATTTGAGTCTGCTTTTTTTAGTCAGTCTAGCTAGGAGTTTGTAGATTTTGTTTATTTTTTTTTTCAAAGAACCAACTTTTGATTTTATTTATATTTTCTATAGTTTATCTATACTACATTTTATTTATTTCTGTTCTAATCTTCATTATTTCCTTCCTTTTGCTCACTTTGGGTTTAGTTCATTCTTTCTTTAGCTCCTTGGGATATAATCTTAGTCTATTTATTTAGATCTTTTTCCTTTTTTAATGTAGGCATTTCTTGCTATAAACTACTCTCTTAGAACTGACTTTGCTGCATACTGTAGGTTTTGATACATTGTATTTCCATGGTCATTAATCTCAAAATATTTTTTAATTTCCCTCTTGATTTCTTCTTTGACCCATCTTTGACCCATGAGTTCTTCATAAGCATGTTGTTTAATTTCCACATATTTGCAAATTTTCCAAGATTCCTCCTGTTACTGATTTTTAACTTCATATTATTGTTGTTAGAAATAATACTAGACATAATTTTAATCTTTTTGAATTTGTTAAGATTTATTTTGTGGCTTAATATATAGTCTATCCTGGAGAATCTTCCATGTATGCTAGAGAAGAATGTATATTCTGCTGCTGTTGGATGAAAAGTTCTATATAGGTCTAGTAGGTCCATTTGGTCTAAAGTGTAGTTCAAATTTAGTGTTGTCTCGTTAATTTTTTTGGCTGGTTGATCTCTCCATTGTTGCAAGTGAGGTACTAAAGTCCCCAACTATTGTTGTATTGCTGTATATTTCTTCTTTCATGTCCATTAATATTTGCTTTACATATTTAAGTACTTCCATGTTGGATGCATATATATTTACAACTGTTATGTCCTCTTGATAAGTTGACCACTTTATCATTAAATCATGACCTTCTTTGTCTCTTGGAACAGCTTTCTACTTGAAGTCTGTTTTATCTGATATAAGTATAGGCATCCCTGCTCTCTTTTGGTAACTCTTTTCATGGAATATCTCCTTCTATCCCTTTACTTTCAGTATATGCCTATTCTTAAAGTTAAAATGGATCTCTTGTAGGTAGCATCTAATTGGATCTTTTTTTAATCCACTCAGCCATGCTATATCTTTTGATTGGAGAGTCTAATCCATGTATAAGCAAGGTTATTATTGATAGGTAAAGGCTTATTCCTGCCATTTTGCTAATCGTTTTCTGGTTATTTTGTAGATAATTTGTTTCCGTCTTCCTCCATTGTTGTCTAACTTTGTGGTTTGGTGGTTTAGTTTTCTGCTTTGTGGTTACAATGTTGTGTTTTTTAAAATATTCAACATGAATACACTTTTTTGTTTGGATAATGTGTAAAATGTCTGCAAGGAGGGGGAGATAATAAGTTTTCCCTTCAGAATGTACAGTTTTGCCTGGGATCAGGAATAATTTATAATGATAACTGTTGCTGGTTAGAATTTGGCTCCTACCCATATTCATGCAAACTCAGTGTTCTAGATTAAAAGAGATTTAAGAGACTTGCCAAGCAAATGCATGGTCCTTAGATGTATCCTGGTTTGAATAAAACAGCTATAAATAATAACATTTTGGGGATTATTGAAAATTCTGACTATAGCTTTCAGGTGGTATCAGAGAATTAGTGTTATTATTGTTAGGTATGTTAATATGGTCATGCAGCAATATGTCTTTCTTTTTAAGAGATGCATACAAAAATATTTAGGTGTGAAATGTCCTCATGCTGTAATTTGCTTTAAAATTCTTCAGAAAAAAAAGATAAGCAAAATAGAAAAACAGGATAGTGAGTACATGGTATCTAATTATTATTCTTCCTTTTTGTGTATTCAATTTTTAAAAGAAATTTACCCAATACATATATCCCACCCCTTCCACTAAGAACTCCAAAACTGTAAATTGCTGTAAATATAAGAAAAAGTGAAATAATTCTACGATTCTGAGAGAAAGTCAATACTGTAGGAAAAAGCCCAGGATTTGGGCTAAAAATCATTAGTCTGATCCTGATCAACCCTGTGGCCTTCAGCAGTAACGCAGCCTCTCAGGGCTTTGATTTGCTCTTCTGTAAAATGAGGTAAATTGTCTAAATAACCTTCAGGGAGTGTTTTAATTTTAAAATTCCAAGTCCTTCCACATCAGATAAGCAACAACTATTCAGTTGTTTGTGCTGAAGAGTACAGAGGACCAGGAGACTGCCCAAATGGGTTCATAAGCCCATTATGCCACTTCCTTGTTGGATCACCTTGGGCTTTTCACTAAATTTTTCTGAGCCAGATCCTCTCCACCTTGCCTGTCTATCATCAAAGGGTCGCTGTAAGGCTATAATAATGTAAGAGGAATAAATCATGATTATTAAGGCATATTCTGAACCACATACCTCCATTGGCAACATTAAACTTCACTCCAAACTCTCCCCCTGGTCCTCCAGGGCAGTGGCTGGCTGTTAGGATGATTCCACCAGCTGCCTTGATCTTCCTGATAATGCAGGAGACCGCAGGTGTCGACAAGATGCCATTCTGTCCAATAATCAGTCGTCCAATCTAAATCATCCAAAACAAAATCAATCCAGTTGTATGGGATAGAAAGCGCTCCAGGCTCTGTTAACATATAGTCAATCACTTGATAAAAGAAACAAAGTGGGCTTTAGATTAGGGGAGGCAGGGTAGGGGTAACTCTGACATTGTCTATCTTATCTGATGTCTCTAAAACCATTTGGAGCACTCACATCTGGCAGTCAATTATTAACCTGTAAATAGGATATGGCTCATTGATCTTCAGTAGTTTGAAACATCTGCTTTTGATAACTGAGGGGTTAGCTTGAATCACACAAGAAGTTCTTAGTTTTGTACTGACTCAGAAACTATGCATGTGAGCATGCTAGAGATTACAAGAAAAAAGAAATGGAGTGCTTCTCTGCTTCTTCTACTTCCTCTAACTTAGAACAAACTCAGATTAGAACAAGTACAAGGGGCCTAATTTACTACAACTTCATCCTCTGAAGGCATATTTTAACTGTCCGCTTCAGGAATGACTGTTCTGCTGAAAGCAGAAATTCTCTTTCTGCTGTTAAATGACAGCATGTTCTGTTACATTGGAGAAATTACCCAGTCATGCTAAGCTGAGATCTGGAGGTCATCCATGGATGCAGCCAGATTCTTTCTATAGCTACAAAACTGACTTTTTAAAAAGGCAGCAACACAGCCCTGAAGAACATTTATTGCCACACTTTGTTTTAAAATTGGATTCAATATCATCCAACCTAGTAGTTCTCAATATTTCTACAAAATAGAATCACTTATGAAGCTTTTTAAAATCCCAGTACTCAGACTGCATTCCAGACAGATTATATTGCAATCTCTGGGGTAAAGCCAAGCATTAGTAGTTTTAAAGCTCCACAGGTGATGCCAATGTTCAGCCAAGCTTGTTACTCAAGCCCCCTTGTTACTCAAAGGGCTGGAAGCATGGGCATCACCTGAAAGCTTGATAGAAATGCAGAACCTCAACTGGGTGTGGTGGCTCACACCTGAAATCCCAGCACTTTGGGAGGCTGAGGCAGGCAGATCACCGGAGATCCAGAGTTCAAGACCAGCCTGGCCAACATGGTAAAACCCTATCTCTACTAAAAATACAAAAATTAGTCAAGTATGGGGGTGCATGCCTGTAGTCCCAGCTACTCGAGAGGCTGAAGTGGGAGAATTGCTTGAACCTGGGAGGCTGAGGTTGCAGTGAGCCAAGATCACGCCAATGCACTCCAGCCTCTGTGGCAGAGTGAGACTCTGTCTCAAAAAAGAAAAAGAAAGAAAGAAAAGAAAAAGAAGTGCAGAACCTCAAGGCCCACCCAAGGCCTACCAAATAAGAATCTGTATTTTAATAAGATCTTCTCCTCTCTTCCCAGATAATTCATTCAACAAGTACTGATATAACCCACAAGCCAAGACAAACTTTGACATACAGTCCAACAGCAAAGTTGCCCTGGCACCATCATTGCTAGAGGTCAGTCACTGACCAAATATAACCATCAGGGAGATCAGGGGAAAAAGAGATACAAGAGATTAAAAAACACATGCACACCCAGACACAAGCTCAAAAACAAAGCAGCCTTGGGTTGATTTTGTATGGAAATCTACAAGATCTGCAGGGTAAATATTTTCAAGTAGAGGAGACAGATTATAAACAAGCAATGATAATAATAGTTACTAGTGGGGTACATATTAGGAAGGAATTCGACTGCTGTAATAAAGGAGTGTCAATTTTAATAATAACATAATAATGACAGCTAAGGGAGCTTAGATTTTATTCTAAGTACAATGGGAATCCATTGAAAGGTTTTAAACAGTGGAAGTGACATGATTGCATTTTTAAACATCACGGGCTGAGCAGCCCAAATGGTCCTATTAAAAAGTAAGTCACATCAAGTCACTAAAACATTCTAATAGCTTTCCTTGTCCCCCACCCACCCAAAACAGAGCCAAAGTCTTCATCATAGTCTACAAGGCCCTACATAATCTGACCCCTTCACCTACCATCCTCCACTGCCCTCCCTCTTCTGTTCCAGCCACAAGGGAACAGAACAGCTATTCTTCAAATAAGCCAAACATGATCTTGCCTCAGGGCCTTTGCATTTTCTTGCTCCTCTGCTTAGAATACTTGCTCAGATATTAATATATCTGTCCTCTAAAGTCCTTTGGGTTTCTGTTTCAATGAAAGCTAATCAGAGATAGCACCCTTGTTAGTCCTATCTAATACAATAGCCAGAAGTCCCTAACTTCTCTATTGCTTCCTATTTCCTTCACCCTGCTCTAATTTTCTGTATCACATATATTACCGTCTCATATACTTCATATTATTTGTTTATTGTACCACTGTATGTAAGACCCAAGGACTGGTTCTTTTTTTTTTTTTTTTTTTTTTTTTTTTCCACTACTATATCCCAAGATCTTAAAACAAATCTGGCATGCGGTAAGCGTACAATAAATATTTGTTGAATTGATTAATGGAGAAAAATGAAAGAATGATGAATAGCTTCTCTGGGAGAAATACAGAAAGAGGAAGATCAGATGGGAGAGTAATCAAGTTTAGTGTTATAGTATCTTAGACTAGGCTAGAGCCAACAGAAATGAAAATAAGTTACTTTGTTTGAGATATATTTTTGGCAGGAGGATGAACAGAATATGCAGGTGGACTGGAATATGGAAGAGGGGAGCTGTGGTAAACAGCCTCCAAAATGGCCCCAGTGTCCTTGTCTTTTGGTATTTGTGCCTTTGTGTGGTCCCCTCCCACACTGAATGGTGCAGATCGGGTAGTCAGTACATATCGCGGAAGTGATTGTGTGTAACCACAGTGAGGCCATAAATGGCATGGACACTTGTGCCCTGCTCTCTTGGTTGGCTCATTCTGTAAGATGCCAGCCTCCATGTCATCAGGACACTCAAGAAGCCCGTGAAGATGAAGGAAGACCTGCCAACAACAGCCAGCACCATTTGCCAGCCAAGGGACTGAGCATCTCACAATGGATCCTCCAGCACCCGCCAAGCCTTCATATGACCAAAGCAATACCAACATGTAACTGTGCCCTCATGTGAGTTCCCAAGCCAGACTACCCATCTCCTGTCTCACAGAAACTGAGAGAGAGAGTAAATATATGTGCTCACAAACATTACCATCTAATTTTCCACATTATATGTTTATTTCTCCATTGTATATAAGACCCAAGTACTGTGTTTTTTTTTTTTTTTTCACTGCTATATCCAAAGAACCTAGAACAAATCTGGTATGTGGTAAGTATACAATAAATATCTATTGAATTAATTGATGGGAAAAAAAAGAATGAATGATGAATGGCTGCCCTGGGAAAAACACCTTGAAGAGTGGCAGAAGCAAAAGGAGAAGGATGAGATGGGAGACTAACAGCCAGCACCACCTTGCCAGCCAAGGGACTGGGCCATCTTGCAGTGGATCCTCTAGCCCCCATCGAGCCCTGACTAAGTCACTAAGTTTCATGGTAATTTATTACACTGCAATAAGTTACTAATATAGAAGCAGTGAGCAAAGGAATCAAGAATCATCTCAGCTTTCTACTTGTAATAACTTAATGGATAGTGGTGCCATTAATCAAGTCAGGAAAGAGAAAGGACAATAATTACACCCATACTATTATCCAAAGCCATGATACATTATTTTCCATATGCTCTTGCTAACATTTATATAGTCATTCAACTCATTTTATTGAGTATCTACCACGAAACAGGCAATATGGAAGAAACTTCTGATATAGAACTGAATATAATTTAGTCACTGCCCTCAAGTAACAAGTCTGGAGAATCAGGAATCTGAAAAATATTTGTAAATTTGGTTCAAAATTTTCTCTCTATTGAGCCATTTAAAGGAAAAACTTTGAAGATTGTAGAGCAGTGACATACTGGGTTAGCAGTTCGTAAAAACGTGCAATGTATTTCCATTGCACAGAGTCAATGCTGAAGAACAGCTGCCCAGCCAGGGGCTACATTTTCCAAACCACCCTTACATCTAGGTGTGGCCACATGATACATTTGGATCATGGGCGATCAACTAGCATGAGAATGAGAACAGAAGTAATGTGTGAGGATTTCAGAAAGCAGAGATATCACCTCTACACTGCTTATTTCTCTTTCTACAGATTCAATGCAGGTAATCATGTGGCTGAGGATGTCAGAAAGCAGAGATACCATTCTATACTGCTTATTTCTCTTTCTACAGATTCAGTACAGGTAATCATGTGGCTCCAGTAAATGCCAGAGTTACTAGAGGAAAAAGACCTGGGTCCCCATCCCATTTGGTAGACAAGAGTCTTTGTCCCCAAGGGACATACTCATTAGACTATAACCTGGAAACCATCATTCTCAGCAAACTGACAGAAGAGCAGGAGATCAAATACCGCATGTTCTCACTCATAGGCGGGTGTTGAACAATGAGAACACATGGACACAGGGAGGGGAGCACTACACACTGAGGTCAGTTGGGGGGAAATAGGGGAGGGACCGTGGGGGGTGGGGAGTTGGGGAGAGATAGCAAGAGGAGAGATGCCAGATGTAGGTGATGGGGAGGAAGGCAGAAAATCACACTGCCACATGTGTACCTATGCAACAATCTTGCATGTTCTTCACATGTACCCCAAAACCTAAAATGCAATAAAATAAAGGGAAAAAAAAAGACTATCATGTGAGTGAGAAATAACATTCTATTGTTTTTAAGGCAATAAAAATTGCCTACATTTCAGGTTTGTTACAATCACCCATATTTTCTCGAGTGGTAGCGAAAGAAACATAAACGATACTTTCATGCTAAATCAAAAATGTCAAATACAAAATTATTTTACATTATTACAATATCAAATTATGTACACTTTGGGGAAAGGACTTAGAAAAATACAGAAATAAACCTTCAAAGTTTGTTAAGTAGGAGAGATTATAAATTTTTATCTTATTAAATTTCTGTTATTTTTAAAAAGGTAATTTATATTCTGTTTAAGAAGGTTAAAGTGAGTAATTACAATTGAATAAAA